GGGGAAACGTGCAGATCTGTCCTTGCAGAGGAGGGAGAGCTTGTACCTGAATAAAACTTGGTCTTAAAGGTGCCACTGGACTGTTTTGGACTAGGGGGCCGGGGGTGGGGGGCTCTGCAGCTTACCTGGCTGCTTCTTGCTCTGACTGAGGGCTGCTGGGAGCAGGGGGTGGGGCTTGTTGCCTGTGCCCGCCCCCTGGGATCTTTACTGCCGGAGCTCCGCTCCTGTGCGCTCCTGCAGGAAATGACCCCTGCCAGTGGCCATTCCTGTGCTCACTTGCTGTCGGACACCGGTGAGCTCTAGGAGCCCCTGAGAGGCCAGAAGGTGGAAAACGTAAACAAGTAGGGTTGCCAACTCCAGACAGGGGAATTCTTCGAGATTTGGGATGTGGAGCCTAGGGTGGGCCATGTCTGGGGAGGGGAGGGAACTCCTCAGGGTACATAATGCCACAGAGCCCACCCTCCCAAGCAGCCATTTCCTCCAGGGGAACTGAGCCCCGTAGTCTAGAGAGCAGTTGTAACTCCAGGGAGTCTCTAGGCCCCACCTGGAGACTGGCGACCACTTCAGTAAGCAGTGGCCATAGAAGCCAAAAAGAGCGAAGAGGAGGAGGAGGAGGAGATGACGATGACAGATTGGATTTATACCCCCGCCCTTCACTACCCAAGGGCATCTCAGAGCGGCTTACAAGCTCCTTTCCCTTCCCCTCCCCACAACAGACACCCTGTGAGGTAAAAGAAGAAGAAGAGGAGATTGGATTTATACCGCGCCCTTCACTTGGAGTCTCAGAGCGGCTTACAAACTCCTTTCCCTTCCCCTCCCCACAGCAGACACCCTGTGAGGTCGGTGGGGCCGAGAGAGCTCTTTTGAGGACTGCTTGTGAGAGAACAGCTCTGAGAGAACTTGTGACTGACCCGAGGTCACACCAGCAGCTGCACGTGGAGAAGTGGGGAATCAAACCCGGTTCTCCCAGATTAGAGTCCGCGCTCCTAACCAATGCTCCCTCTAAGCTGTGGGTTCTTGTGAGCAA